CACACGCCTAATCCATCTCGATGTGAATGAGTGGCACACACAGATCGTTCTCTACATCATGACCAAATCTGCCAGAAGCCATTAAAACATCAACAGGACACTTTTGTTCGTGCAGTTAGCTGTTCCACTGTGAGGCCTGATGGACACACACACACACACACACACACCCACACACACACACACTCGGCCATCACACAATGAGTCCTCAGAGTGGCCGGTGGCGGTGAGTGCTCTGCAGACGGACAGTCCGGAGTGATTGAGTTTCAGGCAGTAAAAAGAGGTTTTCAGCAGCTTCCCACCTGAGCTGAGCGCCGGCAGTGAACAGGCGAATGGCTTCAGTGTTATTTAACACCGTCGTCCATCGGAAACCCTGATGTCAGTGACAGCAGTGACACTGGGAGGAGCAGAGACCAGGTCCAGACTCATGTGTTGGCCAGTATTCGTCCTACGTTGCTGTGTGGCTGTGATCTTTCTGTGGAGAGGAGGGAGGTCAGGTTTCATTGGAGGATTAATATCTCATATCTCCTGGTTTTATCAGCACTGTCCTCATCAGCTCATCAAAGTTTCCTTATCTTGTGTCTTTGGTCAAGATGTTTGTGTCCAGAGTGAAACGTGGACAGTGTCTGTTGAGTTTGTTTCAGCATTAATGGTCATCAGGTTTCTGATACAGCCACTCAGTGACGACTCTATGCAAGTGTTTGATTCACATGATCTTTTGTCTTGCAGCCTGTAGGGATGAATGTTAAGTATGAATGTTAAAGAACAAACCCGGAGTCTTGATGAAGGCAGGATGACTGGAGGTGTCATTCATATGTATGTGTGAACAAATCATTGCTGCTCAGTCTGGATTTCTAAACTTCTGCGACCATGAAGGGAATCGTAGCTCAGAGATGAATGTGAGGAGCCTGGCCACAGCATTTTGAATTCTACCTGGTATAAAAGGAAGTCACAGCATATGTCTGGGCTGAAGCCGAACAGAGGACGGCTGTTATCAGCCCTGTGTTTCAGCAGGGAGACGTATCTGCATCGTTCCATCCCCCGGTGTGTCACAGCACTGAATCGCTGCAGACAAAGGCAGCGTCGACCGTCTGTCGCTCGCTGCCTGAAGCTGTGATTATCGTTGTCCAGCCTGAGTCCACTAGAGTGACAGGGATAATGTCTCGTTTTACCTTCTACATCCAAGTTTATTGTCCGTTCACTTCGGCAACGGGCCGATCAACACCTCCAGTCTCAGACTGAAATCTAGACTGCCACAAATGAAAAAGAAGCAGAGCCGAAGAGAGTCAACATCAAACAGCCCGTTTCAGAAATGATAAATTAGCTTTGAGGGGAACTGGAGTCTCTAAAGCAAACTCAGGTGTAAGGAGTTTTCACTCTCCGCTGTTGTCCCTCAGTTCCACTGGATGGTCCGGAGCGACTCTGACTGATGGTTAGTGTGACTAACAGACAAACAACCATTCGTCCCTCCAGTTCATCCAAAGCCGTCAAATTTGATATGAGTGTGAATTCAGACCGCAGGCTTGGACATGTGATGCTTGGCATTGTGGGAGCTCGAGCACCTATGCCCTGTACATATATTCTTCATTCACCTTAACTGTGTTACTTTCCTCCATCACGTTGATCATTCAGTGTTTATCTTTGTTCTTACTTTCAGTTTTTACAGCTGTCGTCCTGTTCACCTTGTTTTAAATTCATCACACGACTCGTACTTTAGAGTTTTATTATACTGCACTAATGTTTAACTGTCCCTGGACATTACACTGATGTCAGATTTGTTTTCTTGTTTTTTACTCGTCTTGACAGGATCTATGTCCCTTAGAAATGTCCTCTGGGGACAAATAAAGTGGTTTTGATTTGAATCTGTAATCCTCACACTTCCTGTCTATTCCATTGGCCTTTCTGGAATGTGTTCATGTTGGAGAATTCATATCTTCTGCTCCTGTCAGTCTGTTTGTGTGTGAGTTACCTTCCTCCTGAACTTTTCAAACAGTCCTGACTCTCTTTGTGTGGCGTGATATCACAGCGGTGTTATGTCAGTGAGTGGAAGTGACCCCCTGAGTCACACCAGGGCTGAACAAACATCTCCACCTCAGATCAGACCTGAGGAGGCCATTGTTCCTGAGCTGCTGAGAACATGCTCACTTATCTGGAAGAAGCAGGACTTTCTCCATTCAGTGTTATCAGCTTCACGTCGTCGTAAATCTTCAGCCCTCTCGTCACCTTTCAAACACCTTCTGCTCTTCACAGACAAACACCTTCTTTTCCAGCCCCTGTTCCTAACAACTGCTTTAAGTAGCCCATGTTTTCCTCATGCTGTACTTTACATCAACTGTCCCATAGAAGTTCACGGATCAGCTGGTCCTTTGTGCTACCGACTGCAACCTGCTTACAACATGACCAGTAACCCTCTTTATCTCTCTGCCCTATCGTTTAACCTCCACCAGAACATCCAGCACAGGAAGTACGCCCGCTGGAAGGCGACCTACATCCACAACTGTCTGAAGAATGGGGAGACGCCTCAGGCAGGGCCCATGGCCATGGACGAGGACGGAGAAGCAGGTGGGACACACTGATATGGCACGGACAGACACACACAGGGCTAAATCATGCTAACCTGTGAGTTCACCCGGTCAAAATCTGTGTCACTGTGAAAAGTTAAGATCAACCAAAGTGGCAAAAGTTAAAGAAATAGTTTTTGTACAATTTAGAGCGGAAAAAGGAAATGAGCACCGTGCAAAGGTTTGGACGTCCCAAAAGATCTGATGTCTCCCAAAACTTTTCGAAAGGTCTCAGACCTTAATTAGCTTGTTAGAGCTGTGGTGTGTTCATGGTCAGCGATGCAGATTTCCATACTTTATTAAAACTCAGCTCGTAATGCAATTAAGAAGGAAGTTACAGTTTTCCACAAGGTCAATTAGAGGTTCTGAAGATGAGGAAAACTTTCAGAGAGAACTGCTCGAGTTTGTTTTTCGACCTAAAACGAGCCGAAAATATAAAACCACCCAAGAATCTGAGCAATCGACCGATTCTTAAAAGACGAGAATCCCTCCGACGTTTACTCGTAGCTGCTACAAAAGTTATTGACAAGCTGCCCAAGGGTGAAATAATAAGTTCTGACCATGCAGGTTGCCCAAAGTTTCCCTTTTTTAATTTTAAATGTAAAAGTTATCTTTCATTGAAGAATTAAGAAAGTTTCAACTTCATACCTTCAAGAAACAAGCTTTTTTTTCTGACCCACATCATCGTCTGAGCTCGCTCTTTAGAAAACACCTCCTCTGTTGATGTTATTGTGTGTGTGTGTGTGTGTGTGTGTGTGTGTGTGTGTGTGTGTGCGCATTGGATTTGTATTGTGTACCTTATCAGTTGTGAGACTGTTGCAGGAAAGCCCTGCAGCCTTTGGGAGATTAGAGGTGTGCAGAGAGTAGATTAGTGCTGCAGTGTTCTTACATTCAAAGTAAACCTGTGCTTGTGTGTCACAGGGAATTCAATCATTAGAACAAGAGTCTTTGCATGTGCATGAGATTGTGCTGATATTTTGTTGTTTTAATTCTCCGTCCTCATGGATCAACGCTGAGTCTCTGACCTTTGTCGCTCTGAAGAAGTCGTCCCACACTGTAAAACATAACCTTTAGCAGAGAGAAAGCACAGGAAAACACCGGGAGATCCAGAGGAGATGAACGAGTCGCACCACTAAATCACCGTTTCAGCCTTTAAAGTTCACTTCCTTGTGAGGGACGTGGGGCTGGACGACAGGAAACTGACCTTTTTGTTTGGCTGCCACCGGGGTGGGGGCGGGGGGGTTGGGGGGGGTGGGGCGATTTGCAGTAAATTAGAACAAGTGATGCTTCTCTAATTTACAGGCTGTCGTCAAAGCTTCGCAGCTTCTGTTGGCAGGTGGTCATTCAGTGTGATGTCTGAAGCTCAGATGTCTCTTAACAGTTGTTCTTAATATTCTTAAATGTACTAAACAAGCTCCTGAGTCTCATGTTCCTCCTTCATGTGACATTTATGAGAAGAAGACCAGCTGATACATCAGTTTGGATGAACTGCACTTTAAAGTTTGAAGAGATCAGATTTTATTTCACTCCATTAAAAGGTATTTTCAGTTCATACAACTTAGATGAAACTAGTGAAAACATCGTGAGGATTATTCTATTACATTTCTGCCAACAGATCCTTTCACCTGACTCTCACACACCGGAGCTTTAAGTCCACAGTATTTATCCTGATGATCCAACACACTCTCGTGAGCGTGAAGTAAAACATTACTCGGCCTCACGCGGCTCCACAGCATCTGGACTCATTTCCACATTTTACCTTCAGAGCTGGAATTGCATCAAGTGTCTCTCGGGACGACCCCACACCAAACTGGCTCTTATTTTGACATGGACACCTTCGGGCTCGCTCACGTTTCCCGTCCCCACAGGGAAACTCACAGCGTATTTTTCATACCAGTGAACTGAGGTCGACAGATTCCTGGCTCAAATCAACGCCATCTGCTCGTCCACGCCCATGAAACACGGCCTGCTCACCCGTGACATCAGCTCGAGAAACCCTCGCAGCTGCACACGCGTGTACAGTAACATGCACTCATCATGGCTACGTGTAACCACACACTCTCTCTCTTCACTCTGCATTAGGGTCTCCGTGTCAGTGATGTCATCATGACAAGTCTTACAAACATTTAATTAGACTCAAAGATGAAGTCATTAGAATTTGGGGGTCAAAGGTCGAGGGGGCCTCACAGAACATGTTTTTTCGGCCTCTTGAAGATGATGATGGAATTTCTTCACTTGTCACTTGGACTCACAGATGAACTGATTCCCGGGGTCAAAGGTCACAGTGACCTCATGACTCTGGGAACATAAGTGTTTGTAGACTGAACCCCCCCCCCCCCTGTCAGGAGTCTCTGTGTTTCTTGTGAGTGTGACGATCTTCTGCGTCTCCACTGGTCAAAGAACAACTTGAACATGGTTCCTCATCATCGGCATCGTGCTGATCTGTCGGCCAGGCCTCCCTCGGCGGCGCTGGACGCTGCAGTGAACTGAACCAGTTAAAGTGGGTTAATTAACCTCTGGAGACGCTGGGGTTCACACACACGCACCAGCGGTGGTAGTTACAGAAAGACTATTGTCTGCCAGCAGCTCTGGTCTGACGCTGCGGGGGGAGGGAGGGGGACGAGTTTAGCGAGAGGAGAGGAATGGATGGGGAGAGTGTGGGCAGAGAGAGAAAACAACTTCCAGAGTTTAGTTGTAAAACCATGAAGGACGTGTTCTGTGACCCGGCTGGCTGAGAGGAATGTCTTTAGAGGGTCCAGATGTCCATGTTGTCCAGTGTCTCTTCTAAACCTGTTTATTCATCAAGATCCATGATGCAAATTCTGGATCCACAAAATGAAACGAGTTCTTTCTTCACGAGTTTACTAGAAACCTGTTGTGGAGCTTTTGTGTGATCAGGATGAAAACAACACATTAAGAGGACTGATGTGTCCAAACCTGTAACTACCAGTCTGCAGCTGAGATGATGTGACGTGGCCTCAGATGTAAGTTGTTTAAAGTTGGAGGGACGGTTCTAGTTCTAGTTCATCTTGCGTTGTCGCTCAGTCGTAACAAGGTGAGAGAAATTTTCCCCAAACAGATCCACCAAAACACGTTTAATTCTAATGTCACATGATCCGTCAAACCGGTCGAGCGTCTCGTCTTTCAACATCTTCCAACATGTCGTCATCCTCTGTGCGCGAGTCCAGGAATGAAAGTGAAAACTGTGGATCACCAAAGTCAAACAACTTAATAAAAGTGTGTCAGGTGTGATGTTTGTCGCCCGTCCTGCCTGTGAGGCAGTAATGACAGAGGCTGGGGTTTGACACGGTGTCGAGTTCAGCCCATGTCTGCAAATCAACGCCAACAAGTTGAATCTGTCAAAATATTTCTGGCAGTGAGGAAATGTTTTCTTTGTGTCGGGTGTGGTTGCTGAGAGAAGGAACGTGTCCAGCTCATGTTGGACAGATGTAAACACAGCAGGCTGGAACTTTTCTTTCTTCAGAGTCTCTTCATCTTAGATTCATTTCAACGTTGTCCTCAAACACGACTGTCACTGCTCCGTCCACACGCTCGACTCCTCTTGTGATCAGGAGTCTCAGTTGTTGTGAGCTCACACTCTGTCACCAGAGGAAACCCGACTGATCCCAGAACAGTTAATCACAAAGACACATGAATAGTTTAATATCCATCAATGTGATTTACAGTTTGTGTTTGATCTCATCTCTGTTCTTTCAAACTATTTATATTTTTGCTCGTCACCTGATGTCTCTGATGAGGGAACTGTTTTCTGTGTGATGAGGAGCTTTAAGCTCCATTCAGAATTTCTTTCTGTGCCAGCAAAGCTTCATTTCTGCAGCTTAACGTTTCATTTATGTTCTGGCGCTGACTCGTCAGTGTAAGCCGAGGCCGAGGCCGAGCAATTACACCAACATGTCAGGAATTAGCAGCCTGCAGTTGTTCGGGCGATGGTGTAATTGTGTGACTTATCTGATGATGAGATGTGAGGAGCTGCTTCCACTGTCTTTTCTAATGATGCATCACATGGACTTGATTCTGACACCAGGACAAAGTTATTAGCTCCAACACATGGTTTCACCACATGTTTCATTTCCTCTGCTACAGTTTCTGCGTGTGTTGTTGTAGCGCTCACACAAATCACAAGTCTGTGGAGTTTGATCCAAACTTTGATTGACTCACAGAGAGAGAGTGACCCCTCGTCTTTGTTTTCTCTACGTAGACGAGTTCGGAGCTGCAGGATTCTCAGGCCCCTCCCAGGGCGGATCCTTCAGGGGAGCTCCTCCTTCTCAGTCCTATGACGACCAGGACAAGAGCTCGGATCCAGGTCCGGCCCCTGGGATCGGATTTACCCCGAGTCCGGGACCATCGGGTCCCCCCACCAGCAACTACAACAACATCCACATCCCACCAGGGGCCCACGCTCCGGCCAACACTCCAGCTGAGCTGCCTCCACCTGCAGGTACGAGACTCTGCTGCTAGTGATTTACAAATCTATACAAGATTAACGTGCACATGTAAAACTGCTCACATCTCAAACAGTTCAAACAATTCATGTCCTTTTACATTTTGAGCTTTGACTTCACAGATGTAATGTTCAAACAGCTTCCTGTGTGTTTTTCATGTTCGTTAACATACGTGTAGGCGGATCCATGTGTATCAGACCCTCCGTACACACGTGTGTAAATAAACACAAGCTAATCTATAGAGCCCGACTCTGAATCCAGAACGTTCCCACACTCAGCTTCTCTGAGCCATGACTCGTTGTGTTTGTGTGTGGACCAGCAGAAGGAGTTAAACCAGTGCCTTTGCCTCGCTCGGTGCCCACTGTCGACCCCACACTGCTCAACGCCCAACAGCAGGGTGAGAGGATGCACACGCACACACACACACACACACACACACACACACACACACACACACACACACACACAGACACACACACAAACACACACACACCTTTGTAAAGTAGCTCAGGTCTCAGACCTGTGCTTGTGTAAACTCGTCTCTGTGATGAGCTGTCAG